TTCGAAAGCAATAAGAACCCCTAAATATTGTGATTTCTTTTGCATGTACCTGCTGTTGCAAATGCTAACTCCCTGGAGTTGTGTGTAGCACTTTGACGGAGCTGAGGAAGCCCGGGTCTGTGGCCAGAGCCCTGCTATTTATAAGGCTTTGTGGAGCGGGGGAGGAGGAGGAGGAGGAGGGATGCAGCACAAGGCTGCTGTTTGCCTTTTGCATAAACTACCGAGGCAGGTTGCATATTGTTTGAGATGTCGCGCTGGTGCAGGGGGAGCCGTGCCCGGGCTGAAGTGTGCCTAATCGCTCTCTTCCCAGGAAGCGTGGCGTTGTGCAGCGATTCCCTCCGATGTGAACGCAGTGTCCCCTGTGGGATGCGGTAGGTGATGCCCAGCTCTACTGCAATGGCAATTGGAGCTCTCTCCAGTTCTCTCCTGGTAACCTGCTGCCTCATGGTTGCCCTCTGTAGCTCCACCATACCCGTGCAAAAACTGGCCAAGGCTCAAGACAAACAGGAGATAAAAGCCAGCCAGGAAAAGAGGGATCACACGTCAACAAGGGACGGTCAGACGGGCCCCGGGAAAATGAATGAAATCGGCAGGAGCGGGAGGGAGGAGGGCGCCAGAGATTGGAAGAGCAAAGGAAACAGGAACTACTCAAACAAGGAGTCTTGGACTAAGCAGAAACAGGCTTGGAATAGCCAGGGCACGGGCAGTAAATCCGGGAGCGTTCAAGTGCAGGAGCAAAGGGACGCCGCTGCTGAGGAACCTCAGGTGGCTGAAGATGCGTCCCTGCCCGAGGCCATGGCCAGCGTTACCCCCGAGCCCCCGGAGGAGTACGCCTACCCGGACTACCGCGGCAAAGGCTGCGTGGACGAGAGCGGCTTTGTGTATGCCATCGGGGAGAAGTTTGCGCCGGGGCCCTCCGCCTGCCCCTGCCTGTGCACGGAAGAGGGGCCGCTGTGCATCCAGCCCGAGTGCCCCCGGCTGCACCCGCGCTGCGTCCATGTGGACACCACGCAGTGCTGCCCCCAGTGCAAGGAGAGGAAGAACTACTGCGAGTTTCGGGGGAAAACCTACCAGACCCTAGAGGAATTCATGGTAAGGATGGAAACAAAGTCATTTCACGGGTCATTCTGTCACTCAAAGCCATGTTATATTCTTGAAAAGCTTTCTTGCTTTCTGCGTGTTTTGGGGCTTCTCTCCCCCCCCCCCCCCCCTTTTTTCATTTTTTTTGCTTTAATACTGCATCTGCGCTGCTGTAAGATGTTTCCTTTAAACATGACCTTTCTTGTTCAGTGATACTGTAACATTTAAAAATGAGGGGGCTGGTCTTTGTTAAGTCCTTTGGTATTTACAGTAAAAAAATATTACTTGAAATGATGCTACTTGGTGTTGATGGGGATGTTATGGGAATTCCTACCACTACACTTGCCATCTTATTTTACCTTATGTTAACTGTGAAACTTCTACCTTGCATGGATCAAGCAGGGCTTGGGGGGCTGATTTTCCATTCCTGGTAATCTGTCAGTGCCAGCACCTTGTTCCTACAGCTCATTTCTCTCTTTTCCTTTTTGGCTCTTTCAGCTGGGCTGTTCAGGTTATGTAATATTTTCTCTCTCTTATGGGCCGCCTTTTTAGTAAGAGCATGGTTTACAGTCTGGATTACAATGATACTTTAAGTGCTGTATAGCTTAAAGTATAGAGAAACCCCTCTGTACAAAGGGTTTATAGAGAAACCCTTTGTAGGGCCTTTTTAGCAGCATTATGCAAAGTCATTATCATTGAAAATGCCACTTGTACGTTACAGTGCACTGAAAAGTTTTGGAGTTGGGGCCAGTTTCGTAGTTGCTTATCTTTTTCCCTTTAAGTATCTTATCAGAGCTGGGATCTGCAAGCAGGCTCTGAGTATTGGCTTGGGCATGTCAGTTAGATAAAGATGTGGATCAAAACCCGTATAGCAACACACTTGTGTTTTTAACAGCAGAATAGGTTGAGGGCAGTGGGAAATCCAGTACAGAGGTCTGGCAGCTTGAGCCCGGCTCAAGACAGAGAAAAAAACTGTCTTTGTGAAGGCTGTAAATAAGTTCCCACCTCTGCTCTCTGTGGTACTTGTGCAGTCTTAGAAACTTATTTCTATTCCAAAGGTCATCTTGTATTTTTCAACTTCTTGAAAAATAAGTAGATAAAGCAGTGGAATTACTCTCTCCGGAATAATTCACAGTATTTTCCTTTGCTGTCTTTAAGGTAGTGATGTGTAGAGCACTAGTGGTTTTCAAAGCATGACAGAGAGCAATGGCTCGGCCTCCCGTTTCCCATGTCACCCGAAAGATGCACTCAGCTTTGGGGCAGCAGTTTTCTACTTTAAAGAGAGAGGAGATGCTTTTAACAGTGGATAGTCAGTGTGACCTTTTCAGAGATGGATTGTGAAATCCTTCCTTTTCCAGCCAAGTTAATTCTGAAGGGCAGCCAGGACAGTGATGCTTCTGCACATGTTGTCTGTAGGTTTCAGTCTCAAAGTTTTAAAGGCTTCTTCCTGTGCTTTGTTTGTGCTCCTCTAAAACCTTCCACATCTCTGCCTTTATGCAGTGTTGTTGTGTTAATGGCTGCGAAGAAAAGCAGCCTTATTGTGTTAAGCGTATAGCAGGAGGATAAAACCTTAAAGGTATTTCGGCATGGCTGGCAGCCTTGGTGTTTAAAAAAAAAAAAAAAAGAATGCTAAACAGTGGCACTTACAGAAACGTTGTTTTGAAGAGACTCTGGCTTTCAACATTATTTCAGCATTATTTTTAATGTTATATGGAGGTATTGGTGCCTCCATATAATGAAACATCATTTCCCATTGATGCCTTGTCTCACTCAGAATTGGAAATACGACTGGGAAGGGATGTACATTCAGGACACACACGGACAGTGACGGATGCAGCTAGGCAGGGCAATTGCAGCCTATGTATTTTGACGCGCAGGGACCTTGATTTTTAGTTGGGTTCCAAGTCAGGTTGCAGCGAGCGCTGTGAGCACAAGGCCGCAAACAGGCGTTTGCGTGCGCCACCACAATCAATTGAGATGTCGGGTGAAGTAATGCACAGGTGTAGTCAGATTGCTGCTAAGTGGAAGCAATTGCAAATGTAAATAATTGCACACAGTTTCAAGGGCCGTTTTGCAAGTTCAAGGCTGACAGTCTTACGGAGGTTGCTAATATGCTACCTCTTGATTAAGGTCAGCGGAGGAATTCAAAGTGGATGGTAATCTGATGGTCTGGTTTTTCTGTGTGTCTGCATGCGTCCGACTTTTTGTGGGGAAGAGTGTCAGATGTCGTTGAAGGGGAAAAAAAGATGAGCTCCTAAATTTGAGGTGAAATTATCAGTACAAATCTTTGTGTAAGTGTGCGTGCAAGTTTGGGAGTCTGTTTATATAAAACTGTGTATAGCTTGATATGCCAAAAAATGCCCATAACAAGAGCAAGTGCTAACTGAGAAGCTGGGTTTACCAGGGCATGGGAGGTTTGGTGTGTTTCTTCTTTGACTCATGGCTCTTCCTGCAGGCTGTGCTTGTGTGTGTGTATGCATGTGTTTCTCCTTTTTAACAAACCACATACATGTTGATTTTACATGCATACATACGTGTGTGTGTGTGTGTGTATGTATATATATATATATATATATATATGTGGGAGGCAGAATGACATCTCATTAAGGTGTCATGAGCAGCTCCACTCCTCCCTGATGGAGGTGTCAGGATGCGGTAAGGCAAAGGGGTCACAGAATCCGTGTGGGTGGAAATGGGAGCAAAAGCTTGAATTGGTGAAATGCGATTAGGATAACATTCTGCACTGGAGCTGGGGGTCGCTAAGCACATTCCCTACAAGATGCATTTTGATCTTCTAGTCTCTTTTAAAAATGCAAGGTGACTTATAAAGTAGCAGGCTTGGAAGGGCCATAAGTCATTTCCAGATCTGTGTGAAAAAGTAACTGGAGGTGGCTAACAACTACGCGTATTGTTTGGGAAAACCCTAAATTTTTGAAAATTATTGCGTCGTGTGGGTGTTTTTTACAGAATCTCTAGCATATCAAAACATGTATACGGTTATGAATAACACTCAGAACTCTGGAAGTCAAGAAACCCACGTGGTTTTTGAAACATCTGTGATACTTTGCAGGCACAGAGAAATAAAAATGAGATTGATATGTTTATTTCTTGCCAGCTTAGCCCTGTTCACATGCTCCTGAGAGGTGAAAGTGGAAAGAAAATATTACTAGTAATTCCAATGCAATAGCAAATCAGCTTAGGATTATGAAATTGTTTTAAAATGTAGTCCTTTTCAGGCTCAAGAAATCAAATATAGATTGTATGGGTTTTTTTTTTTTTAATGTATGGATTAATTCTTATTTTTAGTTAATATTTATTTGCCATGTGGGAAGTGAGATGAGAAAGCTAAAATTATACTTTGCACCAGAACTTTGACCAATGTGAATTATTTATCACATTTAAATTCTGACAGTTTATACTACTTGTTGGATAAACCAAACTATAAGTTTCTTCCATGCCCTGCTAGTGGGAAATCTACCTGTTTACATTTGTGTGTTTGCTTTTTTACTGCATCTGCATCTCCATGGTGAAACATTTATACATCTGCTCATAAACTTCCCTTTAAACAATTCTAAAGAAGTTGTGCTTTTGCCATCTGTACACCATTTTCTGAGGTTTTATGGCTGCCTGGTGAGTACTTCAGGCTTTGGTGCCTCTCCTCGTCTTTGCTCAGTTTTTGCATAGGCAGAACTGCTGCTGCGCTGTAGTTAACAATTTTAGATGTAGACCTCGCAGAGGTTTACAGAGCCGCGTTTTCCTTAGGCTTCAGAGAGAGAGGTTGATGACTTCTTTCTAGTCCAGTTCTTTGCAGTCCAGCCTGGCTCTGTCAAGTGTACAAAGTGCGAGTTGTGCTAGACTGGTCGTTCCCCAAACGAACCCATGGGACGTTCACTGCATCGGCCGGCCTTTGGGAGCAGAGGAGAGGAAACGAAGGACCAAAAGTGTCTCTTCATTCTAATTTATTTAACTGTTGTTATACAAACGCCGCCTTATTGCCTCTTTAGTGATGATTATGTATCCAAGTGTTAAGGTGCCATTAAGGTGAGGAAAGAAGTGGTGTTTTTCTTCAGTTGCTACTGCTTCTTGATGATCGATTAAAAGCAGTGTGCTATCATTTAGTCTAAAAGTACACCGATCAGGGTTGACACTGGTACCATTTTAGCAACTGCCGTGGTTCACTTGCATGCATGAAAAGAGCTTTATAAAAATGAGCACGTACAGAACTTGCTCAGTTCTACTACCGTTACTCGTATCGGTGGGTTGTGTCGTGTCGTCCTGCCGACTTTAGCAAACTGCAAGAGCTCTCCCAGATGTAGAAAGTTGCATTGCAGAATTTGAGGTAAAAAAGTGGAGAAACAGTGGATTTCTGAGGATCAGGATCTATTCTTTGGTAGTGGCACACGCCTGGCAAGGGGTAATGTCATGGCTGGTGGCTTTCCCATGCATTTCCCACAGGCTTGCGTGGGATGTGGCTGCCCCAGGAGCAGCGCTGCATTGAAATACGTCCCTAGATGGCAGGAGGAGGCACCTTGGGGCTCATGAGTGGCAGAGAACCACAAGCAGCTCTTCCTATAGCCAACACAACCATCTAGGGCGGTCAAGTTGGAGAGTGTTTTTCTTGCCCAGTAAGGAGGGAAAGAAAAAAAAAAAACCTGAACAAAACAGCAGCTGACGGATGACGGCACTTTCTAAAGGTGTACTTTACAGGTGTACTCCCCTAGAAAAACCCTTGCTCTGTAACACAGGCAGAGTGGTTGTGACCCTGCTATTACAATATCGCATTAGCTGTGTATTCAGTCGAAGAAAGATGTAGACTTCAAGTGTGTGTGCTATATAAGAAGGAAATGCATCATTATGAATCATCATTATTAAATCAAAATTAGATTAGTTATGTGTCTCATTTCACAGGACTTTTGATGCCTTTTTTTAAGGCTTCTCATTCTAGGAGTTTTAGGTCTCTGTCAAATTTGTAATTCTAGTAAACAAGCTACTTAATTAGAATATATTTAAATATTATAGATGAGAGATGTTATTCCTAGCATCTGTGTGCTGTCTTTTTTCCTGAATATCATTAGATATTCTAGTTTTTACATCACTTTTAATGTTGAGCTGCACAGCAACTAAGCGGAGTTTTGGGGGCGGGAGTATCTGTTACTGGGCTTGTTAATGCGTCTTTTTCAAGCGATGGCAACAAGCATTGAAACAAACTGCAAATAACAGATTTACCTTGTTGAACTCGATCATTGGAATTGATTTCTAATAGCATTGATCAAGTAGGAGTCTTTAAAAAAACAACACCAAAAGGGCACGTTTTCATAGTTTAGTAAGCATTGTTTGTACATGTAACTCCAGAGGAAAGGGTTCTTAGTAGTGACTTGCAAATAGTTAGGAGCTCAAATTTGCTCCAGCACTCAAAATTTCGCATGCAGTTTCGGTGATTACCTGGTATATCTGAGCCTCTTGACTGTGAAAATTGGCTCAGAAATCTCCTTATCCACGGTGACTGCAGCTCTACAAGTGAACGTGGCAGTTCATAAATAATTACAAGACAAAGTTGTTGTTCCAAAGTTTTCCACAAAGATCGGCACTATTGGACTGTGTGCCGCCTTGTAGCGTTTTATGTCTGGGGTATTCTTATCCTAGGGAGAGAGTAAAATAAGAGAGAACTGGAAGTAACTAGTTAGCAAAGGAAGCCTGAAAGAAAGGAATAATAAAAGCAGAAGGCAGCACAGCAAAGACTCTAAGCTTTCTTTAGCAGAGGGGATGGTAGGAGGAGATACATGAGCGCGTAAGCAAGAGACAGTCCTGGAAGGTGGGAAGAGAAGCGGCAAAGCACCGGCGAGCTCTTAGTTGGAGATAACACGATGCAAGCAGCAGCACATTTGGACTTTGAAAGCAAGGAGGCAAGCAAGCAGAGCACAGACGCAAGCAAATAATGTGGCAGGCTACCTAAGAAACAGGGAGAAGGAGCCAGATGGTCGGAAAGTTAGAGGTCTTTACTGAAAAGAAAATGTTCTGTATTTGAGGTTATTCGGCTTCTGTTGTTGGAGAAATAAAACTGAGAGGATCGCTAGTAGTAAGATTCAGCTACGCTTTCTTCCTCAGCTCTGAGCGTGAGTACCAGTGTGTTCCTGGAGCCCAGCAACGAGTTTTACAGTGTAGCACTTATCCGTCTTTAGCCTCCTTGCTTCTCTCTCCCTCTACCTCCTTAGTGTGGTGCAAAGCCACCAGAGATGCAGCCTGCGCGGGGCCAAGGCATGAGTGTTGAAGAGAACAACTGGAATTTGACATGTAGCGAATAAGACCTTTCATTCCTGAATGGAGCCTTGAGTCTGTTTTGTTTGGAGTGAATTCCATTAGAATAAGTTGATTAAGTGATTATCATGGCACTGCTGCTCTACAGACTTTTTCTAAACCAGTAACGTTTCAGTAGACTAAAAAGCATGACCCTGTTCTTGTTGCTGCACCCTTGTTCTTTAGATTTCAGTTTCTTTCCTGAAAAGTTTCGAATAGTTTTTAAAAAATTTCAAATACTGCTAACTTATGGAAATACCTGAATTCGCAGGAACTTTTTTCCGGACTTGACTAAGAAAATGATCACTTTCAATAAAATGCAGCTTTCTGTTACCAAAAAGCTTTCAAAACAGGACAAATAGCATTACAGATTACCATTAAAAGAAGTTTCACATTTCATGCAGCAACGTTTCTCCTTTTTTTAATATAAGACTCAGTTGCTGAATTACTTTTTGAACCTCCAATTTAGATTAAGTTATGAACTTATTTTGCTGGAATTTCACTGATATGGGGCAGGGAGGCTTTTAGTTTATTTATATAAAAATCTAAAGTGTTCTTGTTCCCAAAATCCCTTTAACGTTTGCACGTGGGACACGGATTCAGAGCAGAAGCTGTGGCTTCTGCTGCTGCAGTCCTGCAACTTTGCAGGAGCAGCCTTGTTCTCTGCATTATTCGAGCCACAAAAAGCGTTTGTTTTAAAAGGTGAGGAGGGAAAAAAAGAGATAAAGGAAAGGGCAATGCAGATGGGAAAGCAGAGATTGCATAGTTTAGGAGAGCATTAAGTGGAAGAATTAAAAGATAAATGGGTTTGTGTTTCAGGTTTCTCCGTGTGAGAAATGTCGCTGTGAAGCCAATGGTGAAGTGCTGTGCACTGTGTCAGCTTGTCCCCAGACCGAGTGTGTGGATCCAGTATACGAACCTGATCAGTGTTGCCCCATCTGCAAAAATGGTAAGTGACTGCTGCAAAATTAGAAGGGGCTTTCTTGCCGAGAGATCCAAATTGCGTTGTTCCTTTTTTCAAAAATAGTTTCCATTATTTCATTTTTCTTCCAGCAGAGGTGCAAAAGAGTTATGTGGGGGGAGTTGTCTTCCCAGTGTGAAGAGTCCTTTCTTTCCTTGACTGGAGTGGACTTGATTATGACCTGCCAGGATTTTTGGTACCCAGGAATCAATTAGAGTGTAAATACCACACATTCATGTGGCTTCTGCATGTAAATTCTGCCTAAAGTCATCGTGGGTGTGTTTCACACAGCCACGCTAGAAGAAACACAGGCTCTTCATGTTATCCATCTGTCGGTGTGAGCAGTGAAAGTTACTTTTGTTCTCCCTTCTTGTTTGTTCTCTTTTCAGAGATTCTTCTTTTTTTTTTCTTTTTCCTGTGGCAAATCAAATGTACCTTACTGAGCTCATTTAATTTTCATAACTAAATGAATTAAACTCCTAAGTTTAATTGAGTATTTTTCGTAACTAAATTAGACAGAAAGTCTCTCTGCTCCCAGCAAGGGCTTGCATTAGATCAAAGTCTTGGTCTATTTAGAAGAAAAAATTACATGACACACTAGCTCATCACTTATAAAGAAGAAATGATAATTTATTAATAGAAATGAAAGCTGCAAAATCTCAAATGAAATTATATTTAAAATGAAAAAAAGACATTTAAAAGTATTCAGATACTTTTCAGCCATATATTATTTCCCTAGAAATAGGTAGGTTCCAGTACGTTAGCTAAAACAAACTGATTAAAATTGTGGAAAAGCTAGGGGAGGAGAGAGTGTACAGCATATGCTTTCCACAAATTCAATAGTAGATGATAAGGGATAGTTAATTGCATTGGAGGAGTTTCATTTGTATGGATATAAAAGTAATTGCTTCACATGCCTTAACTGGTTGTTCGGACCCTGGAGGAATTTGTTCTTGGCTGTACAGCTTAAAGGTGCTCTTCTTTTGGAGATGAGATTGGGCCTTTTTTGAGGCATTTAGGGACAGTTGCTGAGAAAGGCAGGGGTTTGGGAGTTGGTGGTGTGGTAACTAGCCAGTACGGAGGGTCCTTTAGCATTGGTTGTCCCCAGGTGCCTTCTGGCACGCTCATGGGACATTTGCTTCCCGTGTGCACCATGCTGTGCTGCAGCTCCCCAGGACAGGGCAACTCGTGGCACGAAAGGAGTCTCGGGGACTGAGTTACAAGCATATTGCATTAAAACAGCATAGTCTTTCTTCTCCAGAGGTGTTAACGCTGTTTGAGCAACGTTGACTTTCCCATCAATTTGTATTCTCCCACAGGCAGCAGCCTAGGACACTGGTGGCCATCCTCCAGCGGTCACTTGCCTTTGAATTAAGCTCCTCCGACAGCGTGGGGCTTGGCTGGGCTGCTCACGCACGACCCCTGACTTATTTCCCAGAGATGGGGCACGTTTCAAAAATCATACGCAAACGTGCTCTAGTTGTGGCCAGGCTGCTCACTCTCCGAACACAAAAGCTGAATTCCTTGAGGCCTCTGTGCAAGAAAAGGGCCACCTTGTCCTCAGCATCTGAACCCCCGATATTACTTGCGTATTGCTTTGGTACGCTGGCATCACTGACCCAATTTCTAGCCAAGGTGACCAGAGCTGGCTGACTGCAGTGAGCTGTCCTGTCACTTCTGTGCATGTCAGAGAACCACGAGTGGTTTTCTTTGCTAGCTTTTAGACAAGGAAAAAAGCCATTAACAAGAACAACACAAACAAGATAGTTCAGAAGAGGCTGGATTTTTCTGGTTCAGCAGCCTCGATACAGCATCATAAATACGTTCCCAAGGAAGCTGGGGAACTGATTTAAAAACTATTAGACTATCTGCTTTCAGAGCTTATTTTAAAGCATGGGACGTGCACCTTTTGCAAGGAATTTCAGAGAACTGGTGAATGTTTTTCATTAGATTGGATTTGCCTCTTGAGAAGGCAAACCTTGCTTACCTCATCTTGTCATATTCAAGCCTACTGGAACAAATGCGCTGTGATTGCGAGTCGTGGAAACAATCATAATATTGTGCTTCAAGGTTGATCGTAGCAGCGATGATACCAAGACATCATGTTACTAAACTGAAAGAGCTTAGGATGTGTGTAAGGAGTTTAGCCACGAGATCTGGTGGTGGAAAAGGTGGAGCCAGCTTTATGGGGAGAGGTTGAAAGCATACGAGTAAAATGAATGTTTTCACGCTCTGCATCCTGCCGTTTGTGTTGAAATGACCTGTCTCCTGAGCGATAGAGCAAGGAGAAGTAGGAGCTGAAGTTTGGATTCTGTACGTTTACTAGAATTTGTGCTTTTAAAAATGTACAAAATCAAAACTTGGATTTCCGTCCCATTCCTGGCTCTTCATAACACGCAGCACTTTCCCAGCTTCCCTCGCCTATAAATTGCTGGTGGTGAACCAAGGGAGTCAGAGCTAGGCAGCTGCATCCATCACTGGTAGCACCACGTACAAATGCCTAGTTAAAAATTGTGGAGGAATCTGGTGCTGGTCTGTCATTATTAGAAATGAATGAATTCAGTCACTTGGCAGGTATGTGCAACTTTATGGGGAGGAGGGGGCATCGGTGACTTCTTTGACCTGATTCCACCAAAGTGCTGACAGCCACTCAGATGAGGGATGGACAGGTGACTGCACGTCAGGCTTGCGCAGGTGTGCGTGTGTATAGGTGCACACCTCTGGTTTCAAATATGGTAAGAGAAAGTGTTCTTTGCTCTGCAGCAAGCTTTCCATTCAAAGTCCTGTGTGTAAGATGTAATAATCTTCTATATCCCATCCTGTCTGTCAAGAAAGAGCCTAGATATTATTATAGCTGTGGATCACTGATTTCAAGCCAAAAAAAAAAAAGATGTTATTTTCCTCTTTGCGGACAGGGAGTGCTCTAAGAAGCGTCTGTTCTGCAAAATGGCTTACAAAAAGCATACAAGGTGCCAGCTCATGGAGAGAACCTCAGGCATGGGGGGCTATCTGCTTGTTATGTTTCCAGTCGCTACAACTAAGGGAGCTGTTTTGTTTTCATCTTACATATATGCCCTGCAAGGGAGCAAAGTGGGGACAGAGGGGAATGGGAAAGAGATTTTCTTCCTGTGTGAGTTGAAATGTTGAGCCTCATCCTTTAGGTTATCAATAGCAAGGAAAAACCTCCAAAAAGTTAAATCTGCCTTTGGATTATTGCATTAGGTAAGAAGAGCCCCATCCTGATCTCCTTCCTGCTTTAGAGTACTAACAGTGCAGTTACTTACTCACTGCAGTTTCAATAAGCTCAGGATTGGGTACAAACATTAGCAGTGTGCAGAGCGGTGAGGAAAGAGTAAAGAAAATAAGCAGAGGATTGCCTTTTCATTAGAAAAAGGCTGGGCATTTGTTGCTGCTCATTTATTTGGCTGGGGAGGGGGTCAATACCGAAAGTGAATTATCTCTGTAAATTAAATTACTGCGGTTGTCTGTTCCACATCTATTTTCAGTGTAAGAGCTCTAACAGGCGTATACAGCTGAACGCTGCTTTCGCGTGAAGCACGCAGCCTCCGAGAAGGCAGCGGGATTGAGCGTGGCCCTGCTCTTGCAGGTGTGTTTGTAGGAGGATTAAATTAAAACAATAGCCCAAACGGAGCCTGGAGGGGAAGGCATGCTTGCTAGACCAAAAGACACCTCGTTCTAAGGTCCCCCAGAGATTTTATTTCGTTATATGGCTGAAAGATTGGCCCAGGCACAATGAAGTGGATCTTGGTGTCTCCTTAGCAGATGCTGAGGTGGAAGGGAGGGAGGGTGGGATGGGCTGAGGAACCTCCCATGCCTTGCCGCAGTGCTGAGGGTTTTTCCCAGGCGGCTGAAAGGCAGCTGCACCTCGACAGCTCTCGCTTGCGCTGGGCCGTCGCTGCTCCCCGTTGCCTCAGCTTTGCTGCAAGCACCTTGGAGCACCTGACCTGTAAAATGAAATGTCCTTCTGCGGTGTGTTTCAATAAAACATGATGTTCCCTCAATCGTGTATGGCTCGGTGTCAGCCATGGAGGAAGCATTATAATGCTGTCCTGGCAGAGGTCGAGGCAAGGCTATTGCAAACATCAGGAATTTAGCTGCTCTGAGATTTAAATAAGCTATACCTTTGACTCTCCCCTCTGCCTCCCTCGGCTTTTGTTTTAAATACTGTTTTCAGTCATTCTTTAGCCGACAATTTATACGTGACAAAGAAGATGCAGAAGTTTTAAAGCCTGAGAGCAGTTCTTTAACCAACATTAAGCAAGGTATCAAATCAGGTGGCCATAGCGGTCTCTTCTAGATGTAAAATATGAGAGTCATTATATGATTTGAAAGTCCAGTTTGTAAGATTGAAATAGAATATCATTTTGAAAAATGAACTTTCATTAAAAAACAAAAATCTAATGAACAAGCCATCATTTCAGACTAGTCCCAGTGCCACCCGTACTGTGTGTGCCAACATGATTTGCTTGTTCTGATCTACAGCATTTACTGAGTATGGAGGACAGTATTTGTTCCATGATTTTATGTGCAAGAGCCACTTAGCAAAAGGTGCACAAATTTTCTGTTTTAATTGGCTGTACTTCTCAAAATAATTTATAATATTGAACTGTAAACCCAGAAATACTAATGTTTCAGTAGGAAAAATACAGCTGTTTATGCAACTTTAATGGTATGTCATTAAAATTACCTAGTGACTATGCAGGTAAGTGAAAACCTGTAGCAGATATCTTGGCAGCTACTTACTGAAAATAGAATATCAGACTTACCCCTTTTGGCCAGCAGCTTCAATGGCTGTTTAAAGTGGTTTTCAAATCTGATAGGTGAAGTCGATAAGCTCTTAATAGTTTGGTTTCTTGTTAATGAAATAAAGAACAAGTTCAGTCTATGTCATCTTAATACAAGGAACCCGCTTTAACCTGCTCCGTCTGTTTGCTCCCCTCTCTCATTTATTGTTTACTCTGGGAAAG